CACCATTAGCATGGAAGAGCCAGAATAAATTTGTAAAGTACTTCCAATATGTTCATCTGTCATATACAAGTCATGATTTTGCGATCCTGGATTAACATCTATGTTGATCCTGCAACATCAAGTATTTATCCGTATTTCTTCATTCTAAATCTTTAGGAAATATTTTTGGTACATCAAAAAATATGGTTATGATGACCATCCGACAAGCTAATCCAGTTAAAATAGTGCTTAAAATGTCTCTAAAATATAGTATTTCAATCTTAAAATGGCAAATAACTACGGGCCTGTATAAAGCTGCAGACTTGCACATGCAGTCACAGACACATGCACTCAATAGAGCAAGTGACTTCAATGTGAGGGATTGGATTAGGGGCGGGTCTACAGCATTTTCTGATAGTTTGATCTGCTATTGTTGCTAAAGTTGGCAATATGTGTTCAATGCGGGTTATACAAGGTCAGCTTTCAATAATAATTAGATTCCAGATGATATCTTTTGGTCATAAGTTCCTATTTTTGACAGCAGATGCTAATAATATTTCCAGCTGTTGTCCAGGCATTTTAAGTGACCTGTTTTTTTTTTTTTTTTTTTTTTTTGTCAGTTCTGGACACGAATTTAAAACGTTTAAAACAAGACAGAAAAGAGAGAAGCTGTCACTTAAGTTAAAACACATGTTGAAAGATTTCTTCCATGCTGCAGTGAGGTTTCCTGAGAGAGCGGAAAGAGGAATTCAGAATCTAAACATTCATAAAAAAAAAAAAAAAAAGATGAATTACTGGATGTGTAGTTTCACAAAGCTACGACGTCGGATTTCAGAGTCATCTGGAGCTCTATGACCCTTCATGGTTTCTTGAATTATCAGTTTTAATAGGATTTTTTTTTTTACTCATTTATAGACTTTAAATACAATTCTGACATATTCTTTATAAAAAAAAAAACTAAATAGAAAGACGTACAATATTCGTTATGTAACATTTACAGAATAACCTTTTACTAATGACTACTGCAGCTTTTCAATTTCATGCAAATTGGAGATTGACAAGGGGGAGTGTTGCGGCCAGATATATTTAGGGATCATCTCAAAAGATCGATTTTTTTTTACACGAGCAAATTACACAATGAAGATAATATTTATGCATGTTGCATATTTAATCCAACAGAATGTTTATATGCTATTTATGAATTCATTTAATGCTTGAAATGTGATTTTATTTACTTCGCTTTTTTTCTCACATGCATGTTAACAATCATATATAAATATACTGTTAAAAGCAGAATTATTTGCTCCATTTTTATTTTTTTTAAATCTTTTTTTAAATATTTCCCAAATAATGTTTAACAGAGCAAAGAAATTTTCACAGTATGTCTAATGATATTTTTCTTCTGGAGAAAGTCTTATTTTTTATTTTTTTTCGGCTAGAATAAAAGCAGTTTTTAATTAAAAAAAAAAAAAAAAAAAAAACATTTTTAGGTCAATATTATTAGCCCCTTTAAGCAATTTATTCAATAATCTACAGAAAAAAAACATCATTATACAATAACTTGCCTAATTACCCTAACCTAACCTAATTAACCTAGTTAAGCCTTTAAATGTCACTTTAAGTTGAAGTGTCTTGAAAAATATCTAGTCAAATATTGTTAACTGTCATCATGGCAAAGATAAAATAAATCAGACATTAGAAATGAGTTATTAAAACTATTATGGTTAGAAATGTGTTGAAAAAAAATCTTCTCTCTGTTGAAATTGGGAAAAAAAACGGGGGCTAATAATTCTGACTTCAACTGTATACAGTACATACTGCGAAAAACATACGATGGATAAGTTGGCGGTTCATTCCGTCGTGGCGACCCCTAATCAATAAAAGGAACTAAGCCAAAAAGAAAATGAATGAATGAATAATACAAGTATAAGGATCCATAGATGTAAATGTTTTTGAGATGATTATGGCTGATACATGTAACATTTATGGTAAGATAAAACCCTCTACTATTATCCAGTGTTATATTTTAAAACCAGCATTTAGTGAATATTATTAAAGCTAAATGTCCTTGAAATCAAATGTTGCATACAATTAACACTGAAATGAACACTTTATTAACTATTTATACCTAATAAAGGTTTGTAACCACTTGAGGGTAAGTAAATTTTAAGTCAACCAACCCTTTTGGTGGGATTAGTTGAATCTGTTATGTACTTCAAATGTCATTTTATTTTTGTGTACACTATATACACGTATACACATTACATTACATTATATTAAATTACATTACACTGTAACAAATCCTGGATGCCTTACTTTTTTAAGCTGAATCAAATTAACCTTATGCGTCAATTGAACTTCAATGTTAAACTGACTTAAAACAGCTGGCGTAACTTATAAAATTAAGTTAGAAAATGATTAAATTAGTTTAATAAGTTACAATGAACTAAAAACATGCTGTCAGGACTAATTGATCATATAATTTTTTACAGTATATTAAAAATACTATTTTAGTATTTTTTGCATAGTTTATATTTGTTATTTTTGGTAAATTTAGGATTGGTTATTTATTTATATATGCTTCATTTGTCGTTTCTTGATCATAAAAGCATCAATATGTGTCAGGCTTTAATAAAAATATGTTTTCTGTGTGGTTTATAAAGCGGAACTGCAGCTCAGTTTAATAAAAAAATAATTAACCATTTATTAGTTTCTTTAGGGTTTGTCCAACACAATCTCACTGCAATTCGTAACTTTTTGATTTAGTGGCTAATTCGTATGAATTTGTACGATCTAATTCAATAGCGCTCCTTTGAAATGAAAGTGGGATCAAGGTGTAGTGGAGGACTTTGGCCATCCAAAGCCAGAGATATGCACACATATCTATGATCGGGAGTGTTCCTGGTGGTCAGTATGCAATTTTTTTTCTAATTATGAAAATTATAATTTTACATCCCTTTTCTACATCATATATAAGTGAATTCACGGGCGTTGACAAGAAGGAGTGTGTGTTTGTGTGCATGGCAATGTTTTACCCACCCTTCTGTTTAAAGGTGCAGTAGGTGATAGTCTTCAGAAAGATTTTTTTGTTGTGCTGGTTGAAAGTCTCTTCACAGTCTAATAGTAATGATTAAAGTAAATGATCTAAATGTGTTTATATGTATTTTTATATTTTGGGTAAGGCATAAAACTAAAAAAAACGTCCTCCAATTAAATAGAGTCGGGCCGACATCTTCAATAATTCCGATGAGCACGCCAATCTGTCTGTCAGCAAATGCAGATTTGAACAAGTGCGCAGCCTTTTGTACACAGCTCCACCGACCGCCGCACGTTCACAAGAGAGCATGCACGTGCGCAATCGGTAAAAACCTGCTGAATCAAAACTTTTTAAAAACCTGAATCAATATTGGAGTTACCTTTGCACGCTGGAGAAAGGATGACACCATGTCTGAAGGATTTCTCTTAGACAGGTAATGTTCTGTTTTAAAACGATTTTAGCTTCACGCAAAGCTGATGTAATGTTAGATGTTGTTGTTACAAATGGGTTATATCTTCACAGAAGTGTTGTTCAGCCACTAAAATCTTCCGATGAAAGATTGATAAGACTATTTTCAGTTTCATAAGGGACCTTTTACAGCATCGATAATGTAGATTTTAATTAGTTTGCACGCCGCCGGACAAGCACTAATCTCTTTTAACACATGAGAGAGGGTTCTTTTGCTGTGCTCGTGTTTAAGGAGGCGTGGATCTAGACGGCAGGGAAGAGGGACTGTGATTCAGAGATTTATGCTAACCTGTTAGCATTGTGAAAGATCACCTACTGCACTTTTAATTTGATCTAATCCGAGTCCTAAAACACACTCACTTTCCTGCTTTTACTTCTCATTCTGATGGAGGGAGCGATTCATTTGTGAATGAATCCCTGTAATGAACGACACGCGTTTCTGGCACTGCAGCATCTTGTTGTTGTCATATTTCATGTACATTGTTAGCATATTTTATTCAACAAAACTAGCGTGTCTAGAATTTAGTGCGAGTTGGTGTTACTTTGTCTTTGTCTGAATGCAGTAAGTTACTTCATCATCGTCAATCACATTACTTGAGGATAAAAGTTTATAACATACAAACATGATAACTAAACCTTACCTATGAAATGTTCTGCCTTTGTGCTTTGTTTTCCTTGTTTGATAGTTACTACACCCGTACACAGCGCTACACATCTGGCACACTGTCTTGACTAGTGGGGTTGAATGACATTTGTGCTGGAGCACTGTACAAATGTGGCCGCGCTATTGACGCATGCTCAGGGTCCGTACGTGATATCTAGTGTATATATCTATGGTTGGCGATTGCGGCCCACAGACACAGACTCGTGGACCGAGTGTGGATGCAGACCTGGTGCAGTGTAATCTGAGCTGCATCCAGTGCTTTTTTTTAACCTCACCCGTCACAGTGAAGTTACTAACTCCATTGAGTGCATTGTGTCTGAGATTGCATCGCTGAGTGATGCAATCTCAGCTTGCATCATAAAGTCTGCATCCAGATACTATTGCTAACACTGTATTTAGTAAACACAGTGCAGCAAACAGTCTGGTGGTACACGAGGACATTGCTATCCTCACAGAATCATAGATGTTGTAGAATCTCTTCAGTTCTCTGTTTGACAACTAGCTGAGCAAATTATCTCTCATGCCAATGTTTACCCTGACATCCACACTACAATGCTCTTCCGTTCCCTTTATATACCTTCCAGTTAATTAATTTCTGGTACAACCACTTCTATCACAGCACAACAGGTAAACATTTTAATAAAACATAGGTGTATAAATTCAGAAACAAAACATCCATCATACAATATATACAGGAAATAATGAAAGAATAAAAATACTAAAACAAATACATTCATTGACAGCTGGGCTTCATGTGGCTAGGCTAGAGGTTCGCGGTTCTGTTCGTTTTTCATCACAGTAGAGAAAGTGTCGACGGTCCCTAACTCCAGCATTAGGAGCGTGTGTTTGAGCTCACTTTATTCACTCTCTGCCTGTGGAGTGAAGAGGACACTATAGTTGGCGGGATATCTCACATTTACACTCTTATTTACACTGACGGCGATGAAATTTCAGTTTTAAGCGTTGGAAATAAATCGTCCAGGATGACGGTGGATTTTGAGGACTGCATCAAAGATTCGCCCCGCTTTCGGTAGGCTTAAATCTTTGGTTCCCACTTCAGCTTTTCGAGTGAATTGGATAATATATTGCTTTTTGTACATTTCCAGTAAAAAGTCTTTGGTTATATACAGGTCTATTGTTTAATATCTTAATTTTCGTGAGTGATCAAGTGCTGCGATATGATTTGGTTAACGTTAATTCTGTCAGTGCCTGAAGTAGGCTAAGAACTGGACGAACCCATCATATAGTGTATATTCATAATTTATGTAATTGAGATGAACAGTTCTACTGTATTATTAATATTTTTGGTTATTATTTACCAGTGCATTTTGAATAAGCTTTTGTGGGGGTCGTGTGTTATTTGTTTCTAGTATTCGTGGTTAAACTCTGTTAGTTTGCCAGTGTGTTCTTGATAAAAACTGTCATCAACTTCAATGTTTATTGCTTAAAATAGATTTGATGATATGACTTTTTAAATTTTTATATAACCTATTAAATCATGTTTGTCCCAGATGTTCTATAATGTCATGAAAATTAATATTGATTTCAGTATTTAATCTGCAGAAATTACAGAAAGCACCACCGAAGTATGGGATTTATATTTAAAAGTAGCGTTGTAGTTCACCCTAAAATGTAAATGTACCCTCGATTACCTAATTTTGAAGTGGTTTTAAACCTTTATGAGATTTATTTTTCCCTCTTGAAGACAAAAAAGGTATTTTAAAGAATGACAGAAACCTGTAACCAACTGACTTCCCTTGTAGGAAAACTCAATGGTTACCGATTTCCAACATTTTTCAAAGTATCTTCTTTTTTTATTTATAAACCCAGACAGGTTTGTAACAAGCTAAAGATGATTAATGATGACAAGACTTGCAGTTTTGGGTGAACTATTGCTTTAATCACATTAATCAGTGTACAAGGAATACACTAAAATCAAATCATCTTTACTAATTCCTTCTACCTTCCAACATCATTCTGGTGCAACATGAGATTTATTTTTCATTTTCTTTTAATTTATTAATTTCTTATTTTTTTGTAAGATATCAGTTTAACCTCAAGTATAAGCTAACTTTGGGGAAATCTTTGAAATCTCTATAGTCTACATATTGTCTACATATTGTTTGATTGTTTGGTAGTGCTGAACTCATTACGAGCATGTTAATGGTCAGGATTTACACTATTAGGATGATTTATTGGTGTTACGCAGCTTGTAGTTTACTCCACATTGACCGAGGGATGTCCTGCCAGCTATCCACAGTGCCCAGCAGCCATTGATTTTCCATGATTCACTATGATTTTTAAGGACTAATGCCTCATATCCTGCACGCATGTTTTTTGAGGGGTTGACTGTTATTACATGGGTGCTTAAGGTTGAATCATGCACAGCACTTCTTCATGGTAGTTTCCTCATGCTTTTTATTGAGACGATGCTTCATTGTCTTTGGTTTAAAGAAGAGGTGACATTTCCGAGTACTGTTCATGAATTGGTTATTCAAAAACGGGTGATGCTAGTTATTAGCGTAGTTGACTATATGCTTCAGTCATTCAAATACTGTAAATGTGGCATTTTTTGATTTAAAAAAACGCATAATACAGAATACGAGCAATGTAAGGGATTGTGCAGTTTTGACATTTGCATTGACAGAAGTTTCATTTAGCAGATGGTTTAGAATGAAAAATACAACAAGCAATTTAAGGCTAGAAAATATGAGGATATACTGGTTATATTAAGTTTGACAAAAATACTTTATACGTGTAATTTTTTTTTGGAAAGTGACTGAAATACTGTTTCATTGCAAATTTTTAAATAAATAATAATTATTACAGTATGTCATAATAATATTACAATATTATGATTAGACTGTAATATTGCACACATTATTGTGAAAGATTATTACGAGTGAAAATAGCTTTTAAAAATCATGCACTTCATTTGATTTGCTCCAGTCATCAGTGCCATCCTTCAGAAATTATTCTAATATGCTGATTTAAAGAACATTTGCTATTTTTATTAATAATGTTGGAGACACGTCTTAGAGCAAGAAGGTCGCTGGTTCGAACCTCGGCTCGGCTCATTTGGCGTTTCTGTTTGAAATTTGCATGTTTCTCCCTGCGTTCACATGGGTTTCCTCCGGGTACTCCGGTTTTCCTCACTATCCAAAGACATGTGGTACAGGTGAATTGTGTAGGCTAAATTGTCCGTAGTGTATGAGTGTGTTTAGGAATCAGTGTGTGGATGTTTCCCAGAGATGGGTTGCAGCTGGAAGGGCATCCGCTGCATAAAAACGTGCTGGAAAAGTTGGCGGTTCATTCCCCGGATTAAAAAAGGGACTAAGCCAACAAGAAAATGAATGTGCACTGCTAAGACCCTCAATAAATTTATCCTTCACATTATTGTACATGGAGGGTATCACCGTAGCTGTGGGATGGGTTCTACTTGGGATTTCGTAGCGCGGTTCTAGCACGCTAATTAAATGCCTAAAACCGGAGTTTTAGGGGAGGGCTGCTCAGAAATGCAAAACTCCAGTGTGGGTGTGGAATGTTGTCGTTCTAAAACGCCATTTAAAAACTACAATCTATTAGTGTAAACAGGGCCTGAGTGTGTATTTTTCGTGAGCGTATTTGCAACGGGGGCAGGACGGAGGATCGCGATCAGATCGCTATCAGCCCAACCCTATAGCAGAGCTTGCAAACTTTTTTTTTTTGGTCGACAACACAAACGTTGTCAATATAACTCACTGGAAATCCTAAATACTTCCACACCAGCGACTTCATTGAAGGAGGAGAGGGTTTAAGTTCTGTCGACGGGTCTCCTGCGTCTGTAGTTCAACAAGCACTTCAACTAGTGGGTTTTTCTTTCCCCGCATGGCAAGCCAAGCTGGGTGACATGGGAGCGTGGCAGCATTGACGATTCCATTTTTTGATTCGATAATCGAAATTGAGCATGAGTTTCGATTGATTTCGATTTAAAATTTAAATTTTGACACCCTTACTCCTATGTAAATGCATTGTTTTTTACGTCAATACTGCAGTATTGAAACTGATACCATTGCTATTTTAAGATCCCATAGTAAACCATATTACTGAATTACCACCCAAGCGCATATATATAATAATTTAATGCATCATTGCTGAATAAAATCTATTTGTATATTTTTTTATTTAATTATTTACAGTTGAATCCAGAATTATTAGCCCTCCTCTTGAATTTGAATGCTTCTATATTTTTCCACAATTTCTGTTTAATGGAGGGAAGTTTTCTTCATCACATTTCTAAACGGTTTTAATAATTAATTTTAATAAATTATTTCTTTTATTTTTGCCATGATGACAGTAAACAATATTTGACTAGATCTTTTTCAAGACACTTCTATACTGCTTAAAGTGACACTTAAAGGCTTAACTTGGTCAATTATGGTAATTAGGCAAAACATTGCATAAATATGGTTTGTTTTGTAGTCAATAAAAAAAAAATATTGCTAATAATATTGACCTTAAAATAATTTTAAAACAATTAAACTGCTTTTATTCTAGCCGAAATAAAACAAAAGCATTTTTTTCTAGAAGAAAGAATTCAGGAATTACTGTGAAAAATTCCTTGCTCTGTTAAACATCATTTGGGAAATATTTAAAATAGAAATCGTAATCATTTTGACTTTGACTGTACATAGTTGCATGCATGTTGGTTGACATAATACTCTCTGTATAGAATGTCTCAAGGTTAAAACGATAACAGTGTGCACATAAATGCTTGAGAAAATTCCTCTAGCATCTTGTGGCTCTCTTGACAAAATATTCTGAGAGGAAGGAGGTATGATGCTTTGAACGCTATGGTGGAACATGGGATCTAAAGAATTCCCACTGTCCCACGCACGGACTCTGGCTGTGACTGTGGTAAAGCACTGAGATCCAGAGGTTAGACAAATAAACCAGCATTCCTGCACACCCACATCCCCTCCTCAGCACCAGCTCCAATTACTCCCCACGTGAGCGTTTATGTGTGTTAGTAAAATGCGTTGGAGTGAGAGTGTATGTGTGTGTGTGTGTGAGCAGGCGGCGTATATAATCCCTGCACCAAATCAAAGACTTCCAGACTGGGAAGCAGCACCTTAATGGATGCCATCTGCTCTGTGAGTCAGACCTCCTCAATCTCTTGAGGTTTTTCCAGGAACTTTCTAATGTTTATTAAGAAACTGGATTGTCAAATATTCCTCTTCTCAAGAAGCCACATGATTTGAGGTGTCGATTATGAATGTAGCTTAAAATGCATTAGTAGTTGGGGGGGTAAAGGCTCAGGAGTAGACCAATCCATCTCTTTGTCTGCTTTAGACTGCTTTCCTGATTTCTTTGAGTGAAGGGTGTACAGTATAGGTGGGCTTTCAAATGAGATTTTCGTAAGGTGTGTGTGTATGTGTGTATATATATATATATATATATATATATATATATATAATTTTTTTTCTTAACTTTTATTTATTTGTTTATTTTATTCTTAGATTTATTTTTTTCATTTTTAAGAAAAGAAAGTGTAGTGTTTTTACTAGGCAATTAAAAATAATTATTAAAAATAAATGATAATTTAATATCATCTAAATAACTTACAGTACATATACTGGATGATAACTTTATCATATTTGCTTTTTCCCCAATAATATTGATTATCGCTTGATAATTCAATGTTATAATCAACATTGCCATGCTCGTTAGACATTGCTGACCTTGGTAATATTGTCTTATTGCTTATGATATATCTGATATATATATATATATATATATATATATATATATATATATATATATATATGTTCTTAGTATATCTTTTTTTTTATATTTCAGAACTTTCAGAATATTTATGTTCAATTTGTAAAGGTTTGTCTTGTGCAGTGCAAAATATAATGTATTTTAAAATTTGGAAAACAATTTGTAAATAAAATATATTTTTAAAAACATTGCAACATCTTTAAAAAATAAATAAGTGCAAGAAAAAAAGTTTGATCTTTGATAATTCTGGATGCTTGTAAACGATTT